AAAAAAAAAAAAAAAAAAAAAAAAAAAAAAAAAAAAAAAAAAAGAGGAAGTGGGGAAAAAGAAATGAAGGAGAAAAAGAAAAAGAGTTATTCTTCCAGGTTTCTGAAAGATCGTCGAAATGGTTCTTCCTCGACGTTAATGAACGCAAGCACGGAAATGTTAACCGAGTTCGAAATAGCGGAAATTCGTCGTAACATAGAAAAAGCGAACAACGAGCAAAGAGTGTACAACGAGGAGTCGTTCGGTCCGTTGGCTAGCGACGCTCCTATAATAGTGATTCAGGTGCACACGAGACTCACCTACCTCAGACACCTGATAGTGTCGTTGGCCCAAGCGAAAGGGATCGAGCAAACCCTTTTGGTCTTCAGTCACGACGTCTGGCATCCGGACATCAATTATCTCGTACAGAGTGTCGACTTTTGTCGCGTCATGCAAATATTTTATCCCCACAGCATACAAACTCATCCACGAAGTTTTCCAGGCGAAGATCCGAACGATTGTCCTCGAAACATACGAAAAGAACAGTGAGTAATAATCTCTTTTCTTTTTTTTTTTTTTTTATCGATCATGCTACTCGTCTCGAACGATCGATTACTTAATAAATTTAATAATTCCACGAATTTTATTTCCCATTATTTCTTCACTTTACATTGCTCTTCTATCACGCAGAGCTCTCAATCTTGGTTGCATCAATGCCAAGCATCCGGATCTGTATGGACACTATAGAGAAGCAAAATTTACGCAGACGAAACATCATTGGTGGTGGAAAGCAAATCGCGTCTTCGATCAATTGTCCATTACCAAGAATCATACCGGTATGGTTCTCTTTCTCGAGGAGGATCATTACGTTGCCGAGGATTTCCTACACGTTCTTAGGCTGATGGAACGTACCTGTAAACACACCTGTAAAAGATGCAACGTCCTATCCTTGGGCACCTATCTCAAAACTTATAATTATTTTGCCGACTTCAGCCGAAAGGTGAGAAACTCGCGCACATCGCACTAATCATCTCGCCAATCACTCTAACCGCTTTAATATATCTAATCGCTCAAATCGTTCAAATCGTTCCAACCACTTTACTCGCTTTATTCGTTCGGTGCGCGAACTCTACGACTCCTTCCCTAACAAATATATGTATATATATATATATGATATATATATCATATATGTATCATATATATATATACGAATAATTGGAATAGCATAGCAATTCATTGCTTCTCGAATCCTCAATTCGCGTGATTCCTTCTTTCTTCGATGGTTCGATCATTGTGATTTTCGTGAGTCGATTGTTTGATCTAATATGTGCGCTCTCTTTCTTTCTCTCTCTCTCTTTCTCTCTTCTTGCTATGCTCTGCTCTTATCTATCCCGCTCCTCTTTTTCATTCAATAAGATTAATTATATTACAAAAGGGAAGGAGAGATAGATAATTAACGATAGGAATAGATCGAAAAGGATTGGGAATAAAGTTACGTAGCTGCACGAAAGATAGGGAAAAAATTGTTCATTGTAACGAAACCGCGATCGCGTAAGAATCGTTGGATGCATATCGAGTTCGATTTCAGTCTGAATATCTGTGTGTCGATGTTTCACGCACGCCTCATCCGTTAGTTCCTTGGCGTCAACAGCGCCCTCCAAAAGGAACTACTACGTGGATTAAAGAGATGGGAGACATCGACGAGGCAACATTCAGCAAAAGCCGAAGACATCGTTGGCAGCGGCGGTGGAAGAATCGGTATATTTCCGAGCACCAGCAGCAGTGGCAGCAGCAGCAGCAGCAGCAGCACCAGCAGCACCAGCAATAGCACTCCTACGGGAATGAGCAACGGCAGGAACAACACCGTTACTGGAAATAGCATCAATAGCAGCACTGGCGCTGCCGCCTTCGTGTCCGTGGCACGGAACGTACAGACAATGCAATCCGCCTCCGCATGGGCTTTCCAGCTCCTACCCGAACTCTACAATCATTATCAAAAGGTTGCCGACATCTTTCGACGAGCGTCCGTTATGCGCGAAATTCTCTCCATCTCTTCTCTCTTTCTATCGAGTCAGCCGCGCACGTGCGCACGCACGCGTCGTCGCTTTCTCAGCTTTTCTCTCTAAAATTTGTTCGCTTTACAAATTCGTTTCGTTTACTAAGAACGAACTAATAACATCGTGACATCGCTTCGCCAATCTAACTCTCAAATCATATGATATAATCCGACAGAAGGAAAATTTTTTTGTAAAACTACTTACTTGTAAAAATGTTCGACATTGTTGAATAATGTTAATAACGACAAACTGGTGCGCCGCGTAGTGAGTTGAAACGTTAATGATGCACGATAATATCCACGCGCGTGCGCGCACGCGCTCACGCGCACCGATCGTTCCGCGATTTTCTTTTTCATCTTAATAATCCTAAATCACGATATTAGGTGTTATTACATTCCATACAAAAGAAAAATTGCCTTTATCGTATTCCGTTTAGGCTGAAGTGATCCCTTGGATCTCGAGCAAGCATAACATGGGTATGGCGTTCAATCGTGTCACGTGGAACAAATTGAGAAAGTGTGCCGCTCAATTTTGCTCGTACGATGATTACAATTGGGATTGGAGCCTTCAACATATCGCGCAAACTTGTCTGCCTCCCAGTAAAGGACCTGGAATCGCGCCTCGTACGGAATCCGGTTTGATCACGATGATGATGAGAGCGCCTAGGGTTTTTCACATCGGAGAATGGTAAGTCGTTTCTCTTCTTTATTTTTCCCATATATTGTTATGAATATGAAGTTTCTATTGTGAATGTTGTCAATACCAGCGGAGTCCATCATAAGAAGACCAATTGTGAATCGACCGCTGTGATAGCAAAGGTTCAAAACATTCTAAAAGCTGCCCAAGAACATCTTTTTCCTACTCAATTGACACTTACTGTAGCTGGTACTGCGAAAAAGACGAAACTTAGAAAAGGTAACGGCGGATGGGGCGACACACGGGATCATCGGCTTTGTTGGAACATTACTGTTTATCCGGATCTCGTTTTACCGTGAGATCAAATCTCTCCACCGTTTAACTTCCCTTTTCAATTTCTTCTTTTTTTCTCCATTATCTCTTTTATCTCCTTGCCTATTTCCTTCTGCCCTCCCACTTCCCCTCCTGTTTCTTCTTTGTCCCAATTGTTCCAAAATCTCGTGTGTCTCGCTCCCATCCCATTTTTATCCTTGCATCGTTCATTGTTTTATCTCTAATGAAACATGCTCGTTTCCAAGAAGCAAGTTCCTTCGCGTCGACGAGTTATCGATATCGATATCCTACAATTTGTTATTGAAGTGTATAATATCCTTAGCAGCGTACTTACTTTTTATGTTCGTACTAAACTTAGCAATCGATTATTGCGATGAAAACGAGAAGCACGTTTTGCGTTTATCTCTCAGCTTTTTAACGAACTTGACCAGTTGGCGAACTCTCAAAAAATTTTTGCATATAGAGAAACACGCTTGTCACATACTCTAGTCATTGTATGCAATATGATAAATGGATATTATTATCGATATCTGTTTACAAATTTGTTAACCAATTCAAATATTGGTAAAAAGAAACTACGAGACCAGCAACATACTCCGCTCGAGATGATCCAGATTTATAAACTTGGAAAATCAAGAGCTAACCAAAGCCATCCACGAGTTGCGAGATCTATATAGAATACGTTTTATATTTGTAACAAGAATCAACGAAAAATAAAGGAATCGACGGATTTTTCTCCTATCTATTGTCTTATGAAACATTTATTAATATCATTTCACCGTTCTCATTATAGATCGGTAGTCATGTTTGTACAAGCAATATGTTCCATCACCTGAATATTAATAAAAAGAATATCCTTTGTTAATTAATTGTTAAAGATTTAAAATTGCTTGAGATCCTTAAAATCCTAAAAGCTTCGCATACGCGGGCACATTATCATCATATTCAACTCTCATGAAGTTTCCTGCTATTGGACCCTCCAGATTATATTTTTCTGCAAACTTCTTTACGTTGAACCGCTTTCGTTGAGGACCATCTCTGAAATTCATGTACAAAACCGATGTAAATATGATGCGATTAAAAATCATGTGAAAACGAAAAACTCAATTTTACCTGTTGCTTAACCTTCTCTCGTCGAACGTAATGGATCCTTGAGTCTGTTTATAAACGAGAAAAACGTATCGATGTTTCCCAGTATTTTTTGGCGGCGCTGGACCAACGTATTCAGCTAATACTTCTCCTTTGGCAATATTCTCTTCCGGAATATTTCCGACCAACCAGTGTCGAAATTCTCTATTATATCCTTTTCTAGTCGGTACATCAGGATCTGAGAAACAGATGAAAAACACAATCCTCTTCTTTATCATTATTTACATTTTAATAGTTACTATATATCGATCGCTAAATCATCAACTGAACGGCAAACAAGAACCAGTGTATGAAAGAAACAGGTTTGTCCGCATCGACTTTCACCAAGTCGAATGACAAACATCGAGAATTCCACTAGGATAAAATAATACAGTATCTATATATGTAATACCATGTTCTTTTTTAAAAACGAATTAAAATTAATTTTAATTTTTAAATAAACTTTAAATTCACTAAATAATAATAACACTAAATTCAAAAAATTATTTTTTGAATTAGTCTATCAATCTTACCTGTCATTACTAACGTGTAAAGTACACCTCCTTCGTGTTTATAATGAATTTCTGGAATCTGTCGTGTTTCTGTTGGAGTTAATTCATTTCCCAAATCAACACTCTTGTCCCCATATTTCACCTAATTCAAATTCATATATGAATTATTGCAATATAAATTTTTATTATATATATTATTATATACGTTGAATTTGTAGATTTAATATAATTCATTCGCAATGCGATGATAAAATCAAATATTTATGTATACAATATGTATGTATAACAAATATTTATAATTAGGAACAGTTTGATTCATACACAAACACGTATACACATATACACGCATATATTCCAACATTAACTATGATTATCAATGAAAACTGCACCTCGATTTTCTCCACCGGTGCTACGTCTAATATATTCGGTACAATCAGCGCTTTTTCAAATTCCGTACGAATATCCTTAGCCGTGATAATGTGGATACTGCAGGCGAAAATTCCTGCAACATATTTTTATATCATATTTAACACACAATGAACGAAATTAACCAAACTAATTGAATTCCCGATTCATTCTTAAAAATAAATACCTAGTATCATAAAGTATTTCATCTTTGTTATCATCGCACTTAGTTTCGTCGAACTATGACATGCTTGACTCTGATGAAACGTTTTATTTCACAGCCTATTCCCCCTCCTTTAACTTATAACCTGACAAGAATTCGTATCCTTTTCTTTTCATTTGTCGTCAAACAATCCCCACTCATCCCCACTTTCTATCAACTTTCGTATCCTCTTAAACATTTCGTAACATTTCTCTTCTCACAATCTTCTCTCTTTTGAAAATCTCCTTGCTATTAAATAGTATCTTAGTACACATAGATACGAAATGAATACCAGATAACCAATTCTGAATATTATCAAACGATTTGGAAAAATTTTAGTTATCGGGTAATACTTATATTTTATAATATAATATTATAATATAAGTATTATATAAATAATAGAATAAAATGTATTAAGAAATGCAATAATACATCATTATTTCATTTATTTTCCTGCATTGTAAATGCATATATGTATACAAGCATTATATTAGGATAATAAGAAAAGAAATTGGTACTACATAAACAATCGTTTAATATAAAATATAATATGATATTTTTGTTGTTGCGTACTGATCTTTAAGAATCTATATATAAATATTTTTAGCCTTCAAGTTGTTTGTAGAGAAGTGGAACGTAATCATCGTATTCCGCCTGATACATATTTGCTGCAATAGGATCACCTAATTTGTATTTTGTAGCGAATTTTCGAATGGAAAAATTTCCACGATTCTGTCCGCTTCGATTAGTTAGACGACGTTCATCGAACGTAAGCTTTCCAGGTTGTTTATATAACAGAAACACATAACGATGAAGTCCTGTATCTTTTGGTGGACCTGAACCAATATAATCAGAAAGGACATCTCCTTTGGCAATTTCCGAACCAGGAATATTTCCTATTAGCCAATGATGCCATTCACGGAATTTTGGATTCTTACGACTTGGTGCATCTGGATCTATGAGCAAAATACAATAAATTGATTCGATTCTTAAATTTAAGTAATTGTTAATTAAAAATTTCAATGGAATGAAAGACTTACCAGTCATGCAAAGAGTATAATAAGTATTCGTATCACCATCCCATGTAACATTAGGTTTATCTTTAACCTGAGTTGGTGTTAACACTTTGCCAATATCAACGGAAATTTGATTTGGATAAGTAACCTTTAAAATATTTTCTGGAACCTTATCTATAACGTCGGGTACGACACCATGAGTTTGCAACGCTTGAGCCATGGAAGATAAAAGACGAGTTCCAATTTCAACGAGAGGTTTTCTTACGAATAGAGAAGCTGAAAATATATCGAATAATAACAAATAAGAAATTTAGAAAGCAAAAAATTAATTCACTCTTTAATCAATCGTGATCAAATCGTAAAATTGAGGTTATTGAAGATAATTAATACGCAACTGGAACAATTAGTTTATTCAACACTAAATAATCGTATAATATTTTACGACGATATTATCGACCATTACAAAAAAACAAAAGATATAATAAAAAAATGAATGTGTCGAAAATAAAATAAAAAAAAAAATATCGCGTTATATTCTATTCTATTATTCAACAAATTTAAAAAAAAAGAAAATGCAATACAGTTCAATTTAATTAAGTATTACTTGTGTTAATGAAAAGCAGTGACATGACATCCAATACGAACTAATACAAATACAACGTTTTAAAAAATGTAATCAAAAAAACTAATATAACTTTGTACCAATTTCAGAAGACCGGTATACTACAAACGTAATCGATTGTTCCTTTTCTTTTATACGTTCCTTCTAACTATACTTCATTCAACGAATAAAGTCACCAGAAATGATAAAAATTATATCTACAAATATTGCAATTTCAATAATTAACTGGTAAAAAAATCTTCAATCGTATTAAAATTTTAAATATTATAATACATATGACGATACGAAAATTATGATTTTATATTTTGAATATTCTTCATTATAATGATATGATTCTATAAATAATATACGAAATAATAGCTTACTATTTTGTATCTTAGATATGTGCTTCTGCTTTTTGTAGATTTTAATTACGTAGTATTATTTACATCTGATAACTTGATTCGTTGAATAAGCTATATAACACAAGTTCAATGCTATAACTATGATTTTGACATAGCTAACCAATCGTATATTCGAATCAGTCTTGAAAAATCTTGTGAACAGTTCTTTATATTAATTTCTTTTAAAATAAATTTCAAATTTTTTAATTTTAAAATTAAAACGTATTCTAATAAAAATAATTTAAAATTAATTTTTTTTGTCATTTAATAATTAAAAATTATATATTTAATAGACATTGACATCTAACAGTAATATATAGAACTAATCTATTGTGATGAATTTTTAAGCACAGACAAGATGTATTTAATATTTAATGAGACTTTGCAGGTAAAAAAAACAATAAAATTAATGAGATATTGAAAGTATCTTTTGAACACATAAATTTTATAAAATAAATATAAATAAGAAAAGAGATAGAATAAAAATTCAATATTGACGAAAGCACCATCTAGTATATCTTTCATGAAATAAATAGTGTGAGAAGGACGGAGATAGAGTAAAAATAGTCAAATCAGCGCCATCTCTTGATTGCCGCAAATGAAACTCAATACATAAGGACAATACATAAGAAAATAATAGAAGGATAGAAATAAGAATTGACTCTCAGCGCCATTTCTTAATCCTCGAAGGGAAAGATAAGAATTTAAAATCAATGCCATCTCTTAAACGTTTTTAGAAACATACTTTTTTAAAGAAATGTCTTTGGTACTCGAAAGATGGCATTGATGGTTAATTCTTATTCTATTTCTGTTTTTCTTATTATTCTCTCTTTTTATCTTCTTATGTTCATTTCTAAAGATGGTGCTGATTCTTTAATTTTTTCTTATCTTTATTCTTATTATTATTATTTACTTTTTAATCTATATTTTATAAAATTTGTGTGCTTGAAAAACAACAAATGAATCTAATTAATTTTATTTTTTTGTTTTTGATTAAAAATTTTATCTTTAGTTGCAAACCAGTAATTCCAGTCTGAAATCCAGATATAAATCATTTTATTCATTTAAACTATAGCAAAATTATAAATAAAATTTATGTATGAATATAGGAGAAAAAATAATATTTCAAATGCATATAATAATATTTAGAAATAAATGTTATAATAATGAAAAATTAATGAAAAATTTATTGCGTATCATTGGCATTGATTCGATATAACATATTAATCATTAATAAATTTTTAATTAAAAGAAATTTTATATTAAATCTGATATAAGAAACTTGTTTAGAATTCTAGCTTCAAGATACAAGCTCAAAAATGTAGAAATTTTTAACAGAAAACGAGTAATTAATGAATTTTCAATATGGCGTCTTTCATGCATTAGAATATATGATGCATTAATTGGTAGTAAATAATAATAATAAATAATAATGAAAAAGAATTTTATATTAAAATTGATAAAATAAACTAGCGTGAACCTTTAGCTTTAAAGTATGAAGTTAAAAGTGATGAAATTTTGAATAGAAAACGAATAATTAACAAATTTTCCATGTGGCATCTTTGAAATGGTGGAAGATACTCTCTATCCTTTTCGCACAATCTTGCTTTCCTTGTCTACGACCTCGAATAGCTCTTTGTATATTATGTTATGCTAGTAACAAGTCGGAGCTTCGAGTGTCCAAACGCGAGATGGCGTTACTGATGGAAACATTTTGATCGCTGTTTTATTATTGACAAAATATATTTAGTCAATAATTAAAAATTAAAAAAGAAACAACATAAATGTTAATTAAATGTTATGTTTTATTATATTTATATATAGTTTAAAAGTTATTTAAATAGCAATATGTGAGAAGAAAATAAGAATATATGTAATGAATAAATTGAATAATAAAAAAAAGAAAAATATTTGTTTATGTATATGTAAAAATATATACATATAAAATATGATATGTATATATGATACAAAAATAAATAAAATTTTTTTTTAATTTTACAATAAGAATTAAGAATTAACGTCATTTGAGTGTTTTTGCAAAAATTATTTAAAGAATTGTCTTTATTACTTAAGAGATGGCAATGATAATCAATTCTTATTCTATCTCTGTCTATTTTCTTCTTGCTATACTTGCTGCTAGTATATAATCATAAATGAAATATAAATCAAACGCATTTTTTTCATTTTTTTTTTAAAGTACTTTAATCTTTAATGTTAAAAAACATAATAGATATTGGTAATAAATACTATATTCTTGATTTTAAAATATATTTATAGAATGATAACGGAAAAATAGTACAACCAATATATGATTGAGATACTGGACTTGGCGATAGTATAAGATATATTTTGTTAAAAAACAATTTAAAAGAATATTTAATCAAAAACTGAAGATTTCTATAATATTTTTTAGTTTATTTCGAATAGAAAATTGATAAATTGTTTTTGAATTTCAATTTTTTAATAAATCAACAAATATACAATTGAAATAAAGATTTTTTTAATCGTTTGAAATATATCATATTACATAAAATAAGTAAATGCATGTAACATATGATTATTTTAATATCTTTCTTTACACACCATACGGCACATATACGCACATATACGCACGCGAGCGCACATGCGTTACATACACGAATACACACCATGCGTACGTCATCACCACATTCAACATAACAAATAAATTTGCACATTCGAAGACATTTCAATCTTCTAATAATTTCTCGCTCATTTCTTATACATTTGGTGTATACACGCTAGACTTTGGCGAAACAGAGTATCCCGAGCAACAACGACATTAAATTCCGTGCAAAAATATACGCGAATTTGATAAAAAAAAAAAACGTCGATATTGAATACATACGAATGGGAAACCTGCCCGAGAATATAATCATCGTTATCGACTCGTTTTGCTCTACCACTATCTTATTTTACTTTATTTCACGAGGGTAATAAAGGTGAGCAAGTATTCTTCTCTGCATTAACTTAATGCTTTTATCGTTATTCTTTGTTATAAAAACGTGTAAGTACACTCTTCCTAAAATTGTTTAACTAAAAATTTAAGCGTATTTGAACAAAACAAACTATCATTATTTACAAAAAAAAGTAAAATAGGAACAACTACACATTTGTCGTGAGAATAGCATGAAAAGAAAAATGTTCCTTCTTTATATCTCACTTTATCTACTATTTGCAATTTGCACTTATATGCGTTTTTATACCGGATCATATTCTTTCAACCCCAAATCGATTATCAATTGTTGATGAAAATGAAGCAACAAGAGTGAGAAAGACAAGAATTGGTAGAGTGTACATAAGAAAGAAACGAAGAGAAGAAAGAAAAGATAGTGGAGGGGAGAGAGAGAAAGAGAGAAAGAGAGAAAAACGGAGAATTAGAAACCTAAACGTTTTAGATTATTTCGCGTTGCACTACCACCGATTCTTGACTTCTCACCTTGCCAGCTTTTACTTTTGTTCCGAAATTGTCTAAGGTCAGCTTGGTTATCAGGATGTCTCATCGGTCGGTAACCCTGTGGCGTACATAACGCCTTTTGTTCCTTGTAAAATTTCTCGTATCCACCGTGCAAAAGATAAACTTCTGGATAATAAAGAGCGGGATAATGTTCTTTGTTACGTTGCCGATCCAAACTACGCAAAAATCGTGAAAGATTTGGGCCGCGTTCCCACGAAAATTCACAATGAAACACTAAAATACTTCTTTTATTTGTATCTGGTTGAATTTCGGGCCTATTTGTCAACGGATCCAAAAGTATTTGCTCAATAAGATCTTTGCTATAAAGATTCAAAGCGCCTTGAATATGGCCAGCATCGAACTCGTATGGATAACGACAATCTACGATTTTGAATGAACCAATTCGATCACTAAATTCTCCGTGTATCAAGGCAGCTAATGTATCGACGGAAATCGATTTCAAGTCTTCGTGGTGACCGACTGCCAATGGTAGAACACACGGTTTACTAAAATCTCCTGTAAGATCAGCGTCGGTAATACTACGATGTATGGCCGATTTAATGTGCGCATGTGTTTCATCTTCTGACTTTACTTCCGTTTCCGTTTCCGATTCCATTTCTACATCTACTTCTATATTTGTTGTCTCTATTGCTGTTGGCATTACTGATTCTGAAGAAGAGAAATTTCTTTGCACGTACTTCACATCAAATGCCATGCCTTCATTTACATCGCATTCCTTTGCAATATCGTTAAAACTGTTTGACATTCGTGATTTTTTTATTAGTTTCGGGCTATCATTAATCGGTGGATCTGGTCGTTTAAACATTCGAACGAATAATGGAGAATTATTCTCGACTCCGCAATTCGCAATAGCGTTCCTATCAACAAAATCGGAAGAAATTCGTCTACGGCGGGTCACAGGTATCGTCGACGCCAACGGGCTAGTATCCTCAAAACCTGGATTTACAGTGGACGAACTTGCGTTCGGAGAACGAAACAAACAAGAACGTACTTTTGAAAGAGATGAATTTCTCCGGTCCTCTTGTCTTTCATCTTGTAATAACAATGAACGCCTAAAACCGCTTGCACCATTGTTGGTACGTGGAAATTCGGGTGTACTCGGATTCGAGTCAGAGATCATGGTTTCGTTTTCTACATCGCAACTTACAATATCGCCGCAAAGAAGAGTTGAAATCCCGTTCGGCAATTCCGTCGTACCGTCGGAATTCTCATCTATCAACTCATTGAATCCATCATCCATACTCTCGTAACCGGATGAAAGACTTCGAAATAATGATGGTCGTGCAACTCGTGTTCGTTGTGGCGATGATCGTATCGGAGATTCCATTGGGCTTCGGCATTCAAACATTCGACGAGGAGCAACAGCAAGAGGCTCCACAAATCGAAACCTATCTCGTTTCGACTTTTCTTCCTTTTCGAGAAAGCTTGCTTCATATCCGCTATCTTGACTATTAGGATCCCAATCTTCTAACGGATGACGGGGCCTCTTTACACCGACAATCTATTATAGACAAAATTAAATTAGAATATTGGCGATGCTTTCCGATTTTCAAATACTATCAAATTAAATTTAATTATTCGTTGATGTTCAAAATGATCGCTATTTCATTATTTTATTTCTTTAAATTTAGATCAAAATGATAAAATAGCGTATTGTTAAGAAGATAAAAAAGAATTAATAATGGAAAAGAATATTATTGTCATGAATTCTATAAACATTATAAATATTTTAAACGTATTCAAAACACTGTATTGATAAATAATAATATATGATGTAACGAAAAGATAATATTTTACGTTTTTTCAAAATTTAATGAAAAAAATATTTGTGTAAAATTAATAAAAATAAAGAAAAAAACGAAAAAAATATAACATATATGTACCTTTTGAGGGCTAGCACTCGTATGCGATATGCAAGCGACGCTATTATTTTCTTTATCGAAAGATGGCGATACTGGTTCTGGACTGGAAAAGCGACGCGAACCCATGCCAAGTAGTCGTCGTGCTTTTGGTTTAGATTTTACCATATCATCCGTATTTTTAATTTTAAAAGCATTCTTAAAGAGCCTGTAAAGAAAAGTAAATAATTAATATGTAGATATACAGATATATTTTTTGCGCACACATAAAAGAAAATAATATCGGCTTAACGATAATAACCTAACCTCAATATTTACAGTACATAAAAATAGGCATTCGTGGTTTGTTATAATTAGAAAATTAACATTTCACGAAGTGAAAAAAATTATACACACATCAATTTCACTGAATTTATTTTTAGAAACCTTGTCACTGACGTTTTTCGAAACGAAATGGTATTTACTTATCAATAGAACGACGATATCCATGCCTTGCCTCGAAACTGATCATTTTATTGTTCTCCCTTATTTATTACCGTTACACTAATTTAATATTTTACAGATGTATACGTGTCTTATATAACTAAACTGTACGATATACAAAAAAGCACATTATTGTCTTATTATTCACATTGTTGTCGTTTTATTATAACGAACACTGTTTATACAGTTACCGCCAAAATGCCTACATGTTAGATGAGAAAGTTATGGAATAACGTGAGCGCGCCAATAATGTGCGCGTGCGCACATGTAGCATATGTATTTAACAAGCGCGTAAATATTCTAATTTCTGTGACAACGTATTTATTTAACTGTAATTGAATTTATAAATAATATAAATTTAGAAATTATCATTCAGTCTGCCATTAGTTCCAAAAATGAAAGACAATCTATAGCTATTTGATTTTAATAAAATTATATTAATATAATTTTATAACACGAGTATGAAATAAATTACTAACAAATAAGAATTACAAGAAATTAAAATTTTGACACGGAAGATATTTATTTTTTTTTTATTTCACTGAAATTTATATCTGTACGTATACGAGTATGTCAAAAAAAAAAAAAAATTGTTATATATAAAAAAAATTGTTTCAATCATTTTAATCGTATCTAATTAAAAAAAAAAAAATTGTTGTTATGATACATACCTTGTACATTGGCAAACATCGCACGAATCCATAACACTTTCCCAATACATCACACTCAAAAAGAAACAATGAGATCACGCATGAAACGAATTGATCGAAAAAAATATTTATATACACACAAAGCACACTGTGACCGTACAAAATGATTAATATTTATCATCAACAAAAGAAATGACGGTGTACAGAGGCTTGGGCGATAACTCGCCACACGTCACACCAAGCACTACTGAAGATCGATACACCAACGAACACCGCAAGAGTCGCGTATTAACTGGTTGGCGTGGCGGGAAGGACTGTCTTTATACGAGCTAGTCTCGCGTGGTGGGGGGAAAGGGCCGACCAATCCGTAACTGGGAAAGGGCCCGCCTAAATCTTCTCAGGGCGTGTAGGGAGAACGGAACGCGGAATCCACTCTTTAAGGCAACCGCTATGGGGGGCCCTTTTCTGCCTCTTTGCCGCCGTGTTTCGTTACATCCGCCTGTTCATTTGTTCGATCGTTCGCCGATATATTTACCGGCTGCTAAATATATATGAAACATATCAAAAGCAATCACATCTCTTCTTTCGATTCACAACATTTACCTCGAATTTAAATTTTAATTTCTGTTCTTCTGAATAGCTATTTCATCGATAAAATCTTATATGCATCCTTCCATTCTCATTTCTTCGGAAAAAAATATATTAATTTGTTTTAAAGAGTTTTAAAAAAATATCGCATTGAAATCATTCATCATCGAATTATTCGAATTATTATTATTAAAAATCTTAAAAAAAAAAAATTATTTCGAAAAACTTATCATTATTTAAAAAAAATGTCAAAACTAATAGTTACATATATTACATATATTAAAAAAGAAAAAGAAAGAAGGAAGAAGAAAATGCACGAAAAAGAAGAAGAAGAAGAAGAAGAAGAAGAAAGGAAACGTTTAAATCGCCTCTTCTTCTCTCTTGTTTCTCGCGTTCATAGTCATGAGTACATATACACATACTCGGTCATTCACTGGCTAGCTTACTTTCGATACCAGGCCGGAAAAGGTTGCCGACCGTAGGAGCTGTTGCTCACATTGAAAGGGCCTGTTCTCATCTCTCTCTCGTTACCACAATGCTCCCTTTCCTGTCGACTGATGCACCGACCATTCCGAAGGATGCAGCTCTTAGCAGGTACAGCTCGGTCCGTTTTTTTCATTCTACCGATCACAATGCTTCACCTGATCTTCGATACCACCCTCACATTCTTCAAAGATTTTCACACGGCAGGTACTCCCGTAAGATTCAAATGCGTTCGGAATCCGTGTATCTCGCCCACGCACGCGAATAAACGTCTTATTAAATTTCACCGAAACGATACGGAAAACAAATGTAATAACAACAA